ACGAATAAGCGTAGTTCCCCGACAAAGATCCCTCACCCGTCTGTGATAAATCTACCGAACGGTTTTCTCGGTCCGCGAGGATGGTCACCGTTGCCTTTTGTGCCGCGCATAAAACGGAAGAATAATTCCCCCGTGAAAATGTCCGAGGCGGTGGCGTAAGGGGGAGAAAAATGAAAAAAATAAAAAACTGTCCTAGACAGCTCCTGCTCCGACGAAGTTCCCTCGCCGATAGATAATAACGAACAGCTCGGTAACTCGCAGTCACTTTGGCTTGAACTTCTTTCAAAGACCTCGTAAGCTGGCGAGGTAACCGATTTCCTGGAAATATACTTTACTCGGTAACCGATCAGATAGAACGCAATCCGTGGCCAGTTGTAACGATGTATCAATGTACGCGTTCTGTCCGACTCTCTTGAAGCTAGAAATCACAAAAAGATATATTGCTCGTCCATTTTTCGAACGACTTTATAAATCCTCTGAAACAATGCCGATTCTTTGCACTCTTTCTCTCCCCCATCAACTGCAATAATTACAAAAATGGCCACAAATTTACATATACTAAATTTCCAACGTTGGACAAAATTGTTATGATTTCGTAACAAGAAATTATACAGCAATATAAATTTGGCTTCTACTCTGTTTTCGCAATTCTGGCTTTATCTTTCACAAAAATAGTTTTAAATATTTAGTGCAGTAGGATAGCAAAGGTACTGTTTTTCCTCGGAAGTTTTATAAATTCGAACGTCTCTCAAAACATTGAACAAATCTTGTTACTGTAATCCATCATAAGTTTCAAGACTGAAGCTTCTCTTTTACAATAACCCTCTGAAACTCACTTTTCTTTTTCTCTCTCGCCAAGTTACTGAATTCTGAATATTGGGATTGAACGACGACAATTCAAGAGATTCGTCGAATTTTCGCCATTGTCGGATATACTGAAATAACGAAGAGAGTTCAATTCCTACGAAACAATTTTCAACTTCGTAGCTGTACACTCTAAATATCAAGCTCGCAAAAAATGAAGGAACAAGCATTTAGCATAACGATCTCTGATCTTGAGTGATTCATACCTTCTTAGCGTTCGTCAGAAATGCCCACTGTGCTCCGTTGAGATTTACAAGAAGAAGAAGATTGGTAGTTAGATCTCTCTCTGTCGAGGAAAATTGAAGTCTATCGTCTTACTTGAAATCGCGTCATGGTCCGACAGATTCTGAACAGAACTGCGCCCACAAGAGTCGCACTTACCAGTTGTCAGCTTCTGGCTTCAAAGCAGTTTCAATTCATTGATCCGATATAGCTTTCGCTTTATAGTTGACGATCGATGAGCCGTATAAATGCGATAGGACAATGGGAGCGGAACGAATTGGCATGACTCTTAAGATCGAGATTGACAGGCGGGGGCAAACAGTGTGCAACGCTGGTAACATAGTTTCGCTATGGCTGGAATTTTGAGCTTCGAAGGATTTTGAACTGAAACGTTTGTTGATTCTCGACTACATTTCGCCAGCAACGAGCTCGAGTTTCGGTTTTAAATTTTAAATTAGTCCAATCATGAATAATGAAAGTGGGGATTCGTGTTGACGAGGGATGGAGAACCC